TCTGCCATCACTGCATCACCCTGAAGCCGCAAAGCCGCCTCTCCCTCACACAAGTCGACCTTTACGATTTGCTCTCAACCTTGGAGGCCCAGAAGCGTCACAGTGGCAGGTTGACAACCACACCCCACGCCGCCCGCCTCGGTTCTGTCCAAAAACAGACAGCCAGAAGGCGTCCAAGTCCCAGCGTGAAGGACTTTCCGAAAGAGGTTTGGTACAGCGGAGTCACTGAGCTGCAGGATGGAGCAGGTGAAAGCTTCATGCATGGTTGAGGAATCCCAAATAATATATCAGAGGTGTCCAAAGTCGGTCCTGCAGGGCTGGCATCCTGCAGGTTTTGGTTCTCTCCCTGTTGGTACCAACAACCTTTTCAGCATGTCAGTGTTCTTCTAACGAGTCATCATTTGATCCAGGTGTGTTAAACCAGGGACAGAACTAAAACATGCAGGATGCCGGCAGGATGGGCGCCACTGGATTGCATTGTAAATTTGAAGCTTCTTTACATGTTTACAGACATTTTAATACAGTTTGGAATCAAAATTATTTCTCAGGAAAAGCAAATCAAAACAAAAATACAGCTATCTCCAAAACACGTCCCTCACATCAAAACCTTCCAACTTAAACTTCAGGGCTGTGTAGCTGTGAATGCTGGAGCTAAATTTCATCAGTTTGTTTGGTCATAAATTCTTTGGATAGCAATATTTCAGCCTGTAGGTTTTCCTCCAAGAACTAATCAGCAGCACCATTATGCAGCGAAGAAGAGCGAAGAGGAGCGATCTGCAGCGAACAGCCGGCCGCAACCGAGCCGCTCACAGATGCGTCTCCAAAAGCAGAGCTTGGTTATGAATTTTAATTAAAGCAATAAAATGGTCTGTATTTTCATTCGCTTCATTATCAATCCATCTCATCTCCTGGAAGTGGTCCAAGGAGTGACGCTGATGATTGTTTTGAGATTTTTCTCTTGTCTTGAGGAAGAATGTTGGATGTAATTTTACATGTTTTTGTGGAAAGATGGAAAAAAAAACTTTCCAGAGATTTTCAAAAGTCTTTATTTTTATTTTTTTTTTTACAAATCTAAGACTGGGACCAGGTCTCCAACAGCTGAAACAAGAAATCTCTCATCAGATTCAAGCCTCCATATCTGCTGACAGAGACGTTTAATGTATGTTAGAAATTCAGATCTGAAGACCAGTGAAAGTTTTAGCATCTGCTGGAAGACTGTTTTTATTCAAGACTTCTCAAACACTTCTGTGTACATATATATATATATATGAAAATAGCTCAAATAAGACACCAACACTTCAAGTCTGCAGTGTTATCTATAGTAAATGTGGTTTATTGTCTTCATACCAATTTGACTCAAACAATTTTCAGGATTATTAGGAAAGAACTAAATAAATCTACACTGAGAAGCTTTTAGTTGGATAAAAGAATTTAAACCTGAAAACTTGAGTCAAAGTCCAAGTTTGAGTCCTTGAAGAACAAGTGCAAGTCAAGGCTGATCTTGGTTGAGCATCTTAAGCATAAATGGTTTAGATCATAACTGCTTCAGCAGAGGGAAGACACACATTATTATATTGACACTATAAGGAGATCACTTAGATGTACAGTAACCATCAATTAAGTAGGTTTGCATATTCAAAGCGCCTTTCACAAAGTGCAGCTCAGCACAAGTCATATTTATGTTGTTCATTTTATAAAAACATGCATAAAGTCGTAGGAATCCATTAACCCAAAGGAAAAACTGAAAATGCCAAAGCAGAGAAGCTCCAGATCAAGTCTTCAAATGGAGGGGAAACCAGAACGGACCACTGGAATGCACATACATGCATGAATATGCAAAACAACAACACGTTGCAATGCAAAGCGACCATGAGTCATTAATGACTCTCAATAATCAGGCCGCGGCGCTGCGAGGGCGATAATCATCGGCCGCCTGCTCTCCAAGTGATAAGCTAATCAACCGTTCGTCTCCAGCGAGCCGACGAGGGGACTCATCATGGCTGACATTTCAGAGCAGGATGGAGCCCAAAGAGCCCAGCCTCGGAGGAGAGGGGCACCTGAAGTGACTTAATTATCACTGCTGCAGAAGGAGATCCACTCGACCCCGTTTTACACTTTTTTCAACTCAAGGTTAACCTGGTTCTTCCAACATTATGGCTTCTCTGCTGCTTTTAACGTCTGTTTCAGGGAGCAAGTAAGAACAGGAGACTGAAGGTTTCGGTTTTATTTCTGTCATTCAGGTGTTTCAAAACAAACAATATCACAGGTGTGATCACACAAACAAACCCGCAGTATTTCTGCTGTACCTAATCATGTCATCACCATGTCAGTCACAGAAAAGGCAGAAAGAGAAAATTCTGCAGAAAACTGCTTCAGATGCCAGGAAAAACCAACGTTTGCGTTCACCTGCATCTCCTGCGGCTGTGGTGGGTGAAATGGGCGCTGAGGATTTCTCCTCCTCCAACAAGACAGTTGTGTTGTTGCGTGCTCAAATTAAATCATAACCTGTGGGGATGCTGTCACAATAATCTGACAGCTCTCAGGCAACTGGATGTAGCCGGCGTCTCAGCCGAGCGGCTGTCATCCTTCCACCAACCTGTGCAGCCCAGCCTGCAGCAGCATCGCAGCCCTCATGTGTTACACAAACATGAGGAGGAAGTTCACAGCTAGTTCCCCTTCAAGGTCAAACCTTCACCCAGAAAAGAGAAGCGTTGGGCGCAGCTCCTAAACCAAAAGATGCTGCGGATAAAGGCAGCGGGGCTCCCAGCCCTGAAACATCCTGCCCTCCCAGCCGCTTTGATCTCTGAGGGGCGCCTCGGCGGAGAGACAGCGTGAGAGATGACACGGCTCCAATATGACCCATCTTCTGTTTCCTCTGTGACAATTCGGGGACAGCTCTGACAGACGATACGAGTTACACCCAGGTGGAAGCAACAGTCGGGGCAGATTTCTGCTGACTATGAACAGGAAAACAAATTCTTATGCCAATATGTTTAGCGTGACTGGCTGCTGCTGGAAACGCTGCAGCAGGCTGCAGGATGTGGAGGAAACACTGAAACCCTGACTAGTTTCAGTCCAGATGCATCGATTAGACTTTAACAGGGAAAACAGTTTTCTGCTTTTATTTTGAAGGTAGAAAACATAAGCAGGCTTTTGTTTAAGCTGTTTGGATTCAATAACTGAATCATGAAACTGAACTGCAGGGACTTTGACAGGCTGCACTTTGGAATCCATCATTAAATAAATACAAACAAGATTTTTCCAGTTATGCATCAGTGGACATCTTCAACCGTTATGACTGTACATTTGACTCCACAAGTAACCCTTTGTTGATAAATCTACAAAGAGATTTGTTCAGTATTTTGTCAGCGTGAGAAAAAATGTCTGATTTTGATCCCTATCTGATCGGCTGATGACCAACAGTGGCATGTTGTTCTTCAGACGTCTGGAGTGGAGCTGAAATATTACAGAAAAACATTTCAGGAAGCCAAGGAGGCTTCATACTGGTGGACAAATTTACTGCTTCTCAGTAAAAATGTGAAAACTTTTTTTTATTTTTACTGCAGTAGCAAAATGTCAGACAAACATTTCAGAAAATTCAACTTTAACTTTCAGTTTTGGTTGTTTTTTTTCCACTGAACTGAGAGAAATGGAATAATATTGACTTCAAGACGGCTGAATGATTTCTGTTGATTTGAACAAGTTTCATATCACTGCTGACAGACTCGGCTTGTTTCAGTTTCAGATGAGCAGCTGGTGATTTCTGGTTAACCTGCTGCTTTGCAGAAGGTCTTGGGTTCAAATCCCTACCTGGCATCTTTCCAGGTACTCCAGCTTCTTCACACAGTCCAACTGATACACTGTTCTCTCAAGATTACACGTGCGTGTGTGTGTGTGTGTGTGTGTGTGTGTGTGTGTGTGTGTGTGTGTGGGGGGGGGGGGGGGGGTGTGCGTGTGTGTGTGTGTGCGTGTGCGTGTTTGTTGCTCTAACCCTAACCCATAATGATACAGATAAACACCAAACATTCCCGTGACGCTGAGAGGATAAGCAGATGATGGTCTCTCAGGCCCACACCATCACAGATCCTCCACCGTACTTAGAGGGCCTGTGGTTCTTTATTAAAATGTAATAATTCTCTTTGCGCAACATCAAAACAGCTTATAGACAAGTCCAAGGCATCGGTTTTTGGAGTTTTTTTTTTTTTTTATCCTTTCTTACCAGTGTTCTCTCAAGTTGGTCATTAGTGATCCATTAACGAGCCACAGGATTCATTTATAATGTTTCTTTGACTCTTTTTGACCCGTAGCAGCAGAACTGCAGATAATGGGTCATGATTGGTGCAGCTGAGAAGCATCTGTTGGTCAACAGGAAAACCAAAGTGATCCACTCCACTCTGCATATTTTACTGAACGATTCATGGTGAGATGGTGCAGATAAGGAACATTTTGTATGAGCCACCTATGCCATTTGTATCCAAGTATGATCGTGCATTTTCCTTAACTAAGCATTTAATTATTGAGGCGAGGTTTCTATAGAGCAGGCAGTGGAAGCGCAGCTCCCCATCTTCACCCTGTTGCTCCGATTTCCATCATTGTTCTAACGGGGATAATAAGCTGCTGTCCCGTTTGACCGCACACGCGTCTCCCTCTGCAGGTAAACAGACTGCAGGTCAGCCGTGCATGAAGGGGTTTGTAGAGGCTCAGAGGGGATTAGGTTTCCTGAGCAGTCACCTGCAGAGGAAGCAGCCAGGAATTAGGACAAAAACCACGCCACGCCTCGCATGTCAAGACCCCAGCTGAAACTCAGCTGCGATCTGGCGGAGGGAAAGCGGGATCAGAAACTTTTACAGGCAGACATCAGCAGAGACGTGACTGTGAACATGAGCGGAGAATGCGCGGCTGGAAAGTCCGGAGATCAGCCGTGATCCAGAGCGCGCGGCGCAGCAGGACTCAGCCCCGCTGATACCCAGCTCGGCTCGGTTCGGTTCGGTTCTGCTTACCTTGAGCAGCCAGAATGATCACCGCTGCCACCATCCAGGCGTTCCGCTCCGGGGAGCGCGGGCAGCGCGCTGCGTAATCTCTCGCCATTCTTCTGCACTGGAGGTAAATATCCAGAACACCGAGGTGTGCCAAGACCGGACTCCGAGTTATTCCTCCGGCAGCCCGCTCACAAACTTACAACTCAGTTCAGATCGCCTGCTTTCAAACCAGTCAACTTCTCTCTCTCCTCCTCCTTTCCTCCCGCAGCTCAGCGCGTCCTCCTCCTGATTCCGGACCGAGCGCAGATCCGCTCAGAGTCTTAATGACGGGAAGGAGCGCGACCCCTCCCCCGTGTGGCCCGGCCGCAGTGCGCACAGGTAGCCGCGGCGGGAGCGTGTCTGGCGGACAGCGGCGAGAGCAGCAGCCGGAGAACAAAGTGTGGACGGAGTGTGAGAGAGTCGCAGGAGCTCCGTGGGTTTGATGCGCAGAGCTGAGTGGGGAACATCCGAGTGATGTCAGCAGAGCGTCACCAAGAGGACTTCAGCCGAAAAGCGGAGAGGAGAGGAAGAGGAAGAGGAGAAGAAGAGAAAATGTTTGGCTGATTAATCACAGACGTAATGATTTATTCAGATAAACGGAAACAGAACAGATACCAGTTGAAATATTTTCTCCTTTGTTTTTTAGTCCTACTTGGTCTTAATTTCGAGACAAAATGTAATTTTACAGACTCGGTTTTGTTCCTCCATACAAACAAAATTATCACAAAAAATAATGCATAAGTTCCCTGTTTAAAAATACAACAGGGATATATTTTATGTTTTAATTATAGTTGGAGAGAAAATAAAACTGGAATCACTGGTGCGTGTCCAGTTCTTTCTGGTCAAACTGGACATGGCTGAAAGGTTTAAGCTCATGAAACTAATTTATTAATCCCTTTTACTCTGAAACGAAACACAGTGTTCTTATTAAAAATGGTTTTACTTATAAAAGTTTTTCGGCTGGTGCAATTTTGTAGATTTAAAAGGAAACTTTATTAATCTGTGGTGGAATTCCCTCATCCCTCCATTTTCTGCTCAGGGTCACTCGTTGACCCCGAGCCACTGGACATGGTTTAACACAATCTGAAGAGTTTACATTTGGTGCCATGTTTACTCGTGTGAACCTCAAGATATGGAGGTGAGGAAGACCTTCAAACGATGAAGATCAGGGAACCTTTTACCAGCATCTGATTGAATAAAGGCCAAAGTATTGATGATCTATATTCATTATCTTTTCTTTGTCTTGAGAGGAAACAGTAAAACTGATCAAATCAACACAACTTCTCCATTCCTCTAACAGATTGGAAAATTAGTCGTTTAAAGCTTCCTGGCGTCTTTATTACTTCCATCATTAGTAATTTTATAGAGTATATATTTTCAGTTTAGTATCATTAGTAATTTTATAGAGTATATATTTTCAGTTTAAATTAATTATAGAGATCCGATAAAGCTGTTTGTATTTGGTCACCAATTGTTCTCTAGAAAACAAATCCATGAACATCAGAAATGATCTTCCATCCAGAACTCAAATGAAAAGCCATGAATCTAAAGACACAGCGGCTTCGAAAAGCTACATTAAGATTCAGCTGCTTATCATTGTACACTTAAGAGCCTTCTGACCTTTGACCCTTAAGTTAAAATTCATGCAGTTAGCAGGTTTATTAACAAAATACTGACCGTCTGGAATTCAGATTTGTCTTGGTTTATTTCAAAATAAACATTTTAGGGATAAAATCCTGTTTTTAATAACCTTTCATTGTGTTCTCAGAATACTGCCAGGCTCTCCGGGAAGCAGCTTATACTTTCTAAGTATAAGACCAAAGTGATCACTTAAAGTTTTTATCATTGCACATAATTGTGCTCTTCCGATTATCCAAGATGAAGTGAGCATTCTTCGTTTCTCTGCTTGAGGATTCTAAGAATTGAAATGCAAAGTTTCCTAGAAAGATGCTTTGATGTTTTTGGAAACATTGGCAAACACAATCTAAGCAGAGATAAACCCGTCCGCTCTCAGAAGAAGACAATGAGCTGGTTAAAAATAGGCTTATGGGATAAAAATGAACTAATTAGTCATAAATTCAAAACAGTATAATCCAGCACAAATCCAATGAAATGGGATGGATAAATTATTTTTCTTTAAATGTCAGGAGACGATGGAAATACACTTATTTCTGTTTATTTTTATAGCCTCAGCAGACAATTGAAAAGCCCGTTATAAAGCCTCATCTCATAGTTAAGATATTATTTCATATTTAGCCTTCAAATGCTAATGATCCTTCGAGAAAATCTCAGACTTTTGTCTCAGCACAGCTTTGTTCTTGTGGTACCAACACAAAGTTAAAGTCTGCAGAAAAGAAAAGTAAATCTAAAAAGCATTCAATAGAGCACTGAATATCTGGAGGTGGAGAAAAATGTGATTTTTATGCTTTTAAAAAGGAACAAAAGAGAAAATGAGGTAAATACATAAGTCCTGGTTGCAGCAAGTAATATTGGTGGAAAATATAGAATCACATAAGTTTTACTTATAGCAAAACTATAAGTACAAGTCAGAGAAGTTCTCCATTCGCACTGATGAAGTTTGAACAATTTTGCAAAAAAAAAATGGACAAAAATTTCTGTAGGTGAGCAAAGGAAGTGAAAATATATCCAAAAACGATTTAATTAACTTGGCCAGTCAGAATACAGATGCACACATAAAACCTCATTGCCTTTATAATTTTTTTGTTTGTAACATGACAAATTGTGATAATGTTCAAGTAATATGAATGTTTTAGCAAGAAAATCAAGAAATCAAATTCAGTCACATTCCTCAACATCTGTCATCCTTTATGGATCTTAATTCAGAATGTCGGATTGTTTGGTGGCTTTTTAGATGTTGTCGACTGTCAACACCCTGGAAGCCAATTCCTCTGGTTGTTGGTTAAATATTCTGGTTTCTGTTTTTGTTGCCTCTACATCAGGTAACTTCAGTTTTTTGAAATCATAAATGATGCCTGGATTCACATTGTGACTCCTGATGAAGATTCTGGCATGGAAGTGGGAACAGTTGGAGGAGGAACAGCTGTCAGAGCGTGTGGGGGCAGCGGAGGGTCTCAGAGTCTCGAGATGGATGGGCCCTTTTGTTTTTTTAAAGACAGAAACGGTCCAAACACACAGAAGTTGGAAATAAACAAACTGAAATCCTCCTGCTGTTTACGACGATAAGAGAACGTCTTTGAAGACGGCTGAGGCACGTTTTAAGTTCGTCTTTAAACAAGTTGAAGGAGATTAACTGAGAATCCTATTTTGTTCACAAATTGTGGAGATGAGGCAGAATTTGATGGTTTAGACGTTGCTCAGTCTGCAAAAATCAAAACTATGTGGATAAATCACTTCAACAGCATCCAGGGGAAATGTGAGCTGTGGTGTTTAAGTGAACAAATATAGTAGTAAAGCTGAAAGTTTTTGGCTAAAATTCAGAGACATAGACAAAATATGGGCTCAGCGTAGATCAGCTCACTCCCATCCACACTGAAGGTCATGACCCAAAGATACGACAGCATATAGAGTCATTGTGGAGAAGAAAAAAAATTAAATAAAGAAAAACAACTAACAGATTAAACTCAAAAATGTTCCAGAATTTTTTTTTTTAAAAGTTGGCTTTTGAAACTCCAAGCAATTTCCAATCTGTGTCTGCACAGGCTGTGAGGTCCAGTCAGAAACACGAACAGAACCAAATATTCACACCAGAGTCCAGCCGTTTTTCTCATATTAAGGTAGAATTAGAACACCAAGCCTTTCTGTGAAGGAAAGTTATTATTCTGATACAAAGCATGCTTCCTCGCCTCAGTCAGATCAGTCAGTGCACATGATTAATAGTTCAAGCAGAATTATGGATGTGAATTCAGGAGAACAGGCAGAAATTGATACCCAGAACTCGCTGTTCATCTTCACTTTGCCCACATTAAAAATTAAGAAAGGCGCAAAGAGAGGGATGGTTATTAACTTTCAAATAGTTTTGACAATATCCTGAAATTAAAATATTCAATCAGAATCGTGTTGGAAACATAAATTACATTGTGTTGAATCTCTTTGCAGATTATAAATCTGTAATAAAACAGATTTGTTGACAGTGTCCAAAGTGTTTTATTTTGGTTTTATTGAAACTGTTCTCACCTTTTCTTTTATCTGCTGCTGTGAGTCTCTAAATGTCAAACAGAAATATCACCTGCAGGATATTTTAAAACACAGTAAAATTTCTACAACTTCCTTTTAGGACCTTTAGGTGTTCTGTATCAGCTCAGGTCGTGGAAGAAAGCCCAATCCGTCCCGGCCGGTCCGTCCCGCCCGATCCGTCCCGGCCGGTCCGTCCCGCCCGATCCGTCCTGCAGATCCGAGCTTTAAACTGAGAAATAACTGGTTTGGTCCAAACAGGATGCAGATATTCCCCGATACAAAGCAGAATTAATCTGGTCAAAGTCGAATTTCCCATCAGTTATAAGTTTTCCGGCGTTCAGATTGTAACTTTGTGTATGTTGTGAGTTTTCGTTCCTGTTCTGCTGGCTGCTGGGAAACAAATGATCCCTCTGGGACAATAAGGACACCGTCAACTTTGAACTTGAAAGCACAAAGCAAACCCAACCTGAGTATTCATTTCACAGGAAATGTTTCGAAAATTACTATTTGATAAGATTATTCAAGTTAAAATGTAACTTGATTCTGAGAGGCTGACAAAAAAAAAAAAAAAAAACATCTCGTCAATCACAGTGTTTGGTTCTTTTAATATTTGGTGTTTTATTGCATGAAGTATTTTATCTCCTTTCACCAAGTTAAATTCTGAGTTAGTTCATCTTTAAGTCCTCATGTCTTCCACTCATTACCTCTATTAATGCACCAGTTTCAACTCATTACCTGTAGAAAAGACCCGTTTCCCCACATTGAGTCAGACTCCAGCCTCTCCACCATGGACTAGTCCAAAGAGTTGCCTACAGGAACCAGGAGCAAAAACTGTAGATCTGCACAGAACCGGGACGGATGGGCTGCACGACAATCAGTAAACAGTTTGATGACAGAAATGTCCGACCTCTACAG